AGCACCAGACTTGCAATCATGTGACTATGGGGATGTTGCAATTATTGAAAGAATGAGACCTGGTTGCAAGTCACTTTTTTCAGTACTGTTATAACTTTGAACAGCCGCTAAATGAATGGTTTTAAGTCTAGGACAGTGATGGCGAACCTTTTAGAGACCGAGTGCCCAAACTGCAACCCAAAACCCACTTATGCATCGTCGGGTGCCGGGTGGGTGTGGCCCATTGGGTGGGTGTGTCCCATTGGGTGGGTGTGGCTGCGGTGGTAACAGCAGACTGGGTGGGACTAAAAAGTTCAATTAATCAATTCTAACTTTGCAAGATCTTTTTTTTTTCCTGCAAGAAATTGAAATTGACTGATTGATTGAACCTTTTTTTTTTTGCACACGGTAGAGGAGGCCTAAAGCGAAAAGGTTTTATAAAACCCAGCTGAAGGCCTAGGACTGGGGCGACGGTGCGCGTGCCCACAGAGAGGGCTCTGAGAGCCGCCTCTGGCACCCGTGCTATGGGTTCGCCACCACTGGTCTAGGACTACATATATTAAGATCTCTAGAATGCAGACTAGATTAGAAAGTCCAAACCACAAGGAAGCAATGGCAAACCATGTCCATATGGTGGCCAAGAAAACTGCAGAAAGTGAATTTACATGAATATTCTGGAAAAAAAAACCCAGATCCTATGTAGGTAGTTCTTGCTTAGTGACAATATTTGGGAATGGCAACTTGGTTGTTAAGTGGCACAGCTAAGTGTAAAATATGTGCCCCCCCCAACTTATTATTTTCTTGGACCTTTTCTTTTAATTCTGCTTGTCACAAGTTGGTTGCAAAGGCCACAAGCGGCAATGATATGACTGCAGGGACACTGCAACTTTCATAAATGGGAGGACTGGTTGCAAAGCTATTTTTTACACTGTGTAACTTGAAACAGTTGCTAAAGGCAGCCAGTAAGAGAAGGCTACCTGTGCTGCCTTCACTGAGAGCCAGTTTCTATAGCAGTTAAAGCATTAGGCAATCAGGAAACCGCAAGTTCTAGTCCTGCCTTATGCACAAATCCAGCTGAGTGACCTTTGGCCAGTCACTCTCACCCCTAGGAAGCAGGCAATGGCAAACCACTTGAAATCTTGCCTAGAAAACTGCAGGGACTTATCCAGTCAATCAACACTCAAAGGTATAAGAAAAAAAAATCTATCTCCTTTCATTAAAGCTTATCAGGATATTTTTAACTTATTCATTTTATATTGACTGATAATCTCCGAAATATGTTAAGTAGCTCTCCAGAGTGCAATTCTTTTGGGGGTCTGCAAATTTTGTGAGTCAGAAATAACCAATTCTCTGTTAATATTAGGAATGTTTTAGTAATATTGACATTTTAAACAAGTTTTACAATTAACCCAATGCCGTCATTAAACCTGCCCCGAGAAATGGCAACAAAGTAGATTTTTTTTTTTTTAATATAGTCAAATGAATAAGTCACTGTTCCGTTCCCGTTTACCATCCAGATAATAGAAACTCAAACATCCTCCTTCAAAACATGAAATGCATGCAGGCAAAATTCAGGGCAATTGCTAAATGAACAACTGTTCTGTTTTGTTTCTTTCTGCTGGTCATAATATTTGAATAAAAGTCCTCCCAAGCACACTTACTGCATCACAGGTGTGCAAACATTTGAATGTTAGCAGTCAGGAAGTGTCAAAAGCATCCTTCCGAAATGATTACTTTGTCGTTAAAAAAAAAAAAGTTCATTTTTTTAAAGCCTACATTGAAGACTTCAAAATCTCTCTCCACCACACACATTGTTCAAAGCAAACCCAAGAAAGGATAAATCCAGCATGGAATAACCTGCTAAAATACTGCCTCAACAATTTATTATTTCTTTCAGACAACTCATTTCCTTTGTATTTTGCCTACGATGGGATAAACTATGGAACTGCTTTGTTACCTATTTAAATTCCATTTGAGTACCACAAGGCTACAATTTAACCTTTGAGATGGAATACGTCTTTGAAGTATTTAGTCTATCCAGATGTACAAAGGTGACATGGAGGTGTTCCCCTCCACCGATTTCCCTAAAGCAACAAGCCTTTGTGTGGTGATTGTTTTAACTTTTCTACATTTAGGTTGCTGCCTCAAGTCAATCTTTAAACTGAAAGTCTCCCCTTACCCCAAATTTTCTTCCCAAGGAAGACAGATTTGTAAAACTGGACAAGTAATTGTACAAGTAACCCTCCAGTATTTTCAAGAAAGCAGAAAGGAATTAGGTTAAGGGACAGGAAAGTTAAGATTCCTGCCACAATGGCAAAGAATGGTGGTGGAAGAGTTAAGAAAAGGAAATTGAGTCCTTGTACAGGAAAATGAAGAATGCATGTTCAACCAGCACAGGAAATGAGAAAAGGAGAAAACTGTTACTTTATAAAAGATTCAGAAAAAAAAATCTGTTTTCAGGCAAAAGTGCTCAGGACTGATGTGAAAGAAACTGTTAATGAGAAATAATAAATGAGAGGGCAAAAGCTAAAGTCCTTTGTGTGTAGTTATCCACAATGTCAAAGTTTAGCAACTCAGGTCCAGCTAGCTGCATATATATATATATTTCTTTTGCTATCTGTCTGTGTGTGTGTGTGTGTACACACACACATACACACACACACACAGAGCAAAATAAATTTTGCCTATTGTTTCTCTTTTAGCCAGAGAAAGATGCAAGACCAGTGAGGCTCATTAATGCCTCCCTTTCCTAAGTGTAAGGAGAGAAAGGACCATAAGTTTCAGAAAGGAACTGATAAAATGACAGAGGGTTAGAGTTCAGGAGCACTATAATGATACACAGCAAGAGTCCCCAGGCGAAAATCTATGGACACTTGCATAGGTAGATGTCAGATGTCAAGTTATTTACTTTCAGAATCTTTTAATTAAAAAATCAATTAAATCCAATATACCCAGAGGATGCCAGGTTGAGAGAGTTCACAGAATTAAATTTAAGTTCATTAGGATTAGCAGAGTGAAGTGCCAATGTAATCACAGAACAGTGATCTAACAATGGGTGCTGAGTTACCAATGCTGACTGTCCATGAAATTCACTGGCTAAGGACAAATCGGTAACCAGGTTCATGTATCATACTCAGCATAGTATAGCTTTACTTTTAGCTCAGTGTATGCCACCAAACTGTGATTTAACAAACCACAGTTTGTTAAACATTCCGGTAGACAGAAGTTCCCAGGGGATGGGCTCCAGCATGAGTCCAAAAGCTCAAAAGACTAAACCTTTTGTCTGGGTGACCGACCCAGATTGGAACCCACAAACCATAGTTTAGCTAAACTGTGAACCAAGCCTCTATCTAAGCCCATCCTTTGCAGGTTATAGGGATATGGTAGGAAAGTTCTCATTCATGCATTTTTGACCATGAATTTAGCAGAGGAAGAGTGGGACATCAATATGAATAATAGGGAAGTATCATGGTGTGCCCAATGTGCTATCTCATATGCCACTGAAACTCATTTTCAATAGTTTAAAGCAAATTTTCTCAGCCTAGTATCCCCCATACTTCTGATCTCAATTAGTTTTTCCTAGCTAGGGTAATGCACTGGAATGCACAAGGATAGAGAAGAGTTAGATGAACGAACAGCAAGATATGGAAATTACACTCTAAGTTTAAAGTAAAGAATCCTCATCTTCACGCCTTAAAAAAACAAACACCTACAAATGGCTTTTGATAAGTAACTATTATTGTGGTACTCCTGCAAATTATATAATTGCACCCATTCTGAAAGGCATCCAGAACTTGTGCTTTTCCACAGGCTCCCTCTGCTACTGCCCAAGGCATGGAAATCTAGCAACTTAAATGTACATTAATTATAAACTATATAATTAGTATGTAAACTATAGCCACTGACTTATACCTGGTAGTTTTCCAGATCTGGCAGTGAACACAAAGGCTATTTACACTACTAATTGCCTCCACTGGACAAAACAAGTGAAAGTATATGCCTCTCTTCATGTTGGGTGTGGCTGCTATTTCGATGCATTTGGATTTCTCTAATTTGTAAAATGAAGTTTCTTTGTCTCCTACACACCTGTTTTAGTAAGCAGCAACCAAAGCCAATAATGCAGAGTTTCCTTCCATCACCCTTTGGGGGAGGCGGGAGGGGGGGAATCCATTAAGAAATCAAGATGCTGTGCAGACACCCACTCAACTTCAACAGATGCAATTTGAAAAGTATGCCAAACAATTTCTACACACAATGCACCCAGCCAGAGCTCTTATTGTGTGTGGGAAATCATTTTTACAACTGTATTGGGGAAACTGTGTGTGTGTGTGGTGGGGGGGGAAACTAAGATATTTTGGCAGGCTACTGAAAAGAAATAATGTACATGGTTAGAAGACACTGCCAATTGTGCTATTTGATTCTCTTTCCCACAATATTACTCTGGGCAAGGTGCAGTATACAGAGATCCTGCCTTTATTCAAAGTCTTTCCCCCCCCCCATTCCATGCTTAACATCCCATCACTTAGAACACAACTTCCTGGTGCTCAGATAGCAAGAAGCAGCAGAAGGGCTCTCCCAACTTACCCCAAGTTACAAATGGGACCTAACTGTACACCAGTTAAGAGAGCGGGAGCATAAAGTTATTTCATTTCCTGTTCCACTGAAAAAGAAATCCACCACATCGCCGATCCAAGAGGAAACTACCTTCCAACATCTGCTTGCTAGAATCCTTAATAAAAACTTCAACGGCATCCCCAGAGTTTCGCAGCGGACGATCGCTGTTGAGAGGCCTAGCCCTTCCCAAGCTCCTGCCCCGGAGATGCTACCCAACCCAAGCGTCGGCAGTGAACGGAGACACGAAAGAAAGAAAAAAGCACACCGATGCCTTGCCGAACTTGGTAGCCGCGATGCAGCAGCGACATTGACCCAAAGGCCCCACGGGTCAGGAGAGGATCCCTTTTGAAGGGGCTCCTCCGAGACCCCCTAGTCCACTCCGGCCCCGCCCGGCTGGTGCCACTCACCGAGATGGAGGGTCAGATTAATAGTGTTGGGGTACTGGACGCCGGCCAGCATGGTCTGGCTCTGCCACCAGGTGGTGTCGGCCTGGTTGTTGTAGTCGGTGAGGAAGGCAGCGCTGTGCTGCAGGTGAGGCTGGGACGCGTCGCACAGGTGGCAGGACTTGGTGACCCCGGTGACGCCGGTCTGCACGCAGTATTCCTCGGCCGGGCTGCCGCACGTGTTCGTGGCCACCACGGTGGCATTGAAAGCTGCGTTGACGAACTCGGGCATGCAGCGCTGGGGCCGCCCGCTCTGCTCATCCGCGCACTCGTCCATGGCGCCGCCGCACGGCCCGATCAGCAGCAGCCCGAGCAGCCCAAGCTTCAAGAGGGCGTCCATCCCGCGGCTTTTCCTTCCCTCGCGGAAGCCCAGAACGAGCGCCCACCTTCAAGGGTGACTCCCCGCAAAAGCGACTCGCCCGCCGCCTGCCTGCCTGCCCTTTGCTCCCGCTGTCTCTCCCAAGGAAAAGAGGGCCCGGCTCGCTGCAGCAGCGCTCACATCCACCAACTAGGCATATGAGTTGTAGCACACACATACACACGCACGCAGCCTCCGCTCCGCTCTCTTTGCTAAAGGGTGGGGGCACCGCGGTGCACGCTGGGATATGCAGCCCTCCAGCAGAGGCGGGGGAGGGGGGGGAGAGAGAGAGAGGGCTTGACCAGGGTCGTTGTAGGCGCGGGCTTCCCCCCCCCTCCCTCCCTCTTGGAATGCCCTGAATGGGGAAGGATTCCCGCGTGGGAACTTTCTGCCAAACAGAAAAAGAACCCGCAGGGGAAGAAAGGAAGAGATAGCAAGCAAATCCCCAACTTCCTACCAAGCCGCCAGGCCAGGCCAGATTATTTATGTATTTATGTATGTATGTATTTATTTATTTTGAATAAATCAAAGTTGTCGGAAGCGCTGCAAAGAGCGCTTTAGTCCCGGCCCCCTGGCTGCAAGGAATGGTAGTTTCTTGCCTAGTTGCGCATTTTTTACGCGGAAGGAAGTCCTGCAGAATCCCGGGGAACTTATTTCCAAGTAAGGAAAGCGCAGCAGTTTTGAAGTTGTGGTCTAACTTGGAAGTATTGTACAGTACGATTCAGTTCTCCGCTCCGTTTGCAGACTCGCCAGCTCTGATTTCTCAACTGTACGGTTGGTTTTATAAACAGCTTTACTAAAAATAAATAAATGCTTGGACCGCTCAGCGTGCGAAGAAAAAAAGATACGTTTACACTACTGCTCTATGGGAAGATGTAACCCCGAATTTTGTTTCATTTAAAACATACCCGAATTTAAGACTTTGTGGAAGTTAAAGCAGGAAGCCCTTTTGATTAAGTTTTACTCTCCGCAGATAATAGTCACAAGATTTTCAATGTTTATTCGGACATGAGTCAATTTGATTTCAGTCTCATGTCCTTCAAATCTATCTACATTTAGTCTGTCTCTGTTAGATAGGAACAGTCTCTGATTACCCAGTACGAATGAATAAAGCATCCTTATATAGTCACCAATCTTTTCACGCATATCTTGACTGAGTACAGTATCTTGACTAAGTACAGTAATCTAATCATGCTTTCTTAAATGTTAAAGTCATCCTATAGGGAAAAAATCTTATTGAGATAAATCAGTAATACTCTAAAAATGTTTTAAATCATTCATAATTCAATCATTTAGAGAATTACCCAAAAGTTCCTATGAAGTGATCATATAGTACATCTTTTAAAATGCATGTCCTTACATTTCAATTTTGAGATGCATACTCTCAAGCTATTGTACGTACATATTATACACTTTTTATTTATTAGATTTGTTTATCTTGCCTTTATTACTTTATGAGTAACTCAAATTAGTGAAGATATCTAATAGTTCTCCTATTTTCCCCACAACAACAGCCTTGTGAGGTAGGTTGGGATGAGAGTGACTGGCCCAAAGTCACCCAGCCCACTTTCATGCCTAAAGCGGGATTAGAACTCAGTGTCTCCCGGTTTCTAGTCTGATGTGTTCACCACCACACCAAACAGGCTCTGATTTAGTATAAATTTTCAAGAGATTTGAAGGTTCTGGGATCACAGTTAATTGCCATAATACTAAAGTGATTATAGCAAATAATATAATACACACATAGGTTTTTGGTGTGGGTGATTGAAGCCCCCTTCTGGATAATATGGTTATGCGTTTATTGCTGTCAAGTTTATTGTGTCGTTTTTGTAATAGTTTGTCCTTTTTTATCATTGTATTTCTTTAATTGTTCTATGTGTTTTTAACTCTGAATCTCCAACTCACTGGGAGTCAGGCAGCATAAGCATTTAATAAATAAATAAGGCATATGGGCAGATTCATTACTGACACTATACATTTTGGATACCACTTATACACCACTATTCCAACATTTAAAGAAGAATGTGAAGATCCTGTCCCAAGTAGCCAACTATTTCTGTTTCAACAGAGAAGAAAGGGAACAAAGAAGAAAAAGAATAGTCTTGCTAGTCATGGGTTAACATGAAGCCATGTAATTACTTGCAGTTGGGCTTATATTTATTTAGGAAAAATCTTAAATTCAATCTCACACTTCATTAATAACAAATCAAACTGTAAGTCAACTTTGACTTTCACCCTCCTTTAAAAACTAAAAAGATGTCTATCAATTATTTAAACAAAGCAAAGTGATCATGGAACTGTAGTCCCTTCTGATTCTGTAGTAAGTATGATTTGATGATATGTATCCTTCCAAACATTCACCAGTCACATAAGCACTTCATTTGCTTAAATGTGCCCTTTTAACAAGATAGAATATTCTGTGGGGAACATTACATATAATATGATTTAACCCAAAGCCATTTAAAAATGATATCAAATTATTTAAGAAAGAATTATACAAACAACATTTGACAATATAACTTCAATAGGTAAAATGAGGACCATATAATTGGAGGCAATATGCTGACACTGTATATAGGTAGTCCTCAACTTACAACATTTTATGACTTTTTGCACTTATGACCATTGCAGCACCCCCAGGGTCACACGATCAAAATTCAGATGCTTGGCAACTGACTCATATATATGACCGGTTGCAGTGTCCCAGGGGTCCTCATTTTACCTGTTTACCTCATCACATTTTGCGATCCTCTGACAAGCCAAGTCAATGGGGAAGCTAGCTTCACTTAAAAACCCATGCTACTAACTTAATAACTGCAGTGATTCACTTAACAACTGTGGCAGGAAAGGTCATTAAATGGAGCAAAACTCACTTAACAAATGTTTTGCTTAGCAACAGAAATGTTGGGCTCAATTGTCATAAGTTGAGGACTACCGTACCTATAAAAAGCATAGAGTGCTGTAAAGCACTATGAAGCAGTATATGCTGTTAATCATTATAATATATTTAGAAGTCAGACATAAATGAAGCCCACTTATATTACAAGCTGAATTCCTAAAAAAAAATTATTTGAAAGTCTGCATTCTCGCCTATTTATTGGGGGGGGGAGGAACCTAATTCAAATGTTCATAAACAATATGTGAAGAATTTATTCTGCAAATCAAGATGGCTTTAGCCTGATTTGCTAAAGATGCCTGAAAACTACACAGTTCTTAATACAAGAGTGGAAAGATTCCAAATATCTTAGGTCAAAAGAAAATACACATTTTTGTGCCAAAACTATGGCAATAATAGGGCAAGCCCTAATTATGTACTTCCAGTTCTTAAGTTGCATTTCCAAGTTAAAGAATTAGAGAATGAATGGCTCTTGAACAGTCTAGAGGGCATTTTGACAATAAGCAGCAATAAACAGCAGCAATTACGGTAATCCTTTAGCAAACAACATTTACAGGAAACTGATAAAGGTAGAATTTAATGACATGATCTCTTTTTGTCATCTAATTTAGATTGTGACTGGGGCTGGTTACTCTAAGCTCAACCAATATCCCTATGAAGAATCTTGTTTTAGATGTAAAAGAATCCATCCAATTCAGCAGTGCTTATTATTTCCCATAAGGTTAAATAATAGCTACTGAAATTTGGGGTTTTTAAATATATAGTAAACTTAATAGATGTTCTTGGTATGGAAACTAAAGTTTTGATGATTCCAGGCATTATGAATCAAGGTAATCATAATTTCCTAATTGCATTTCAGATTCTTGTTCTCAACCATGATGAAGTGTGACAAGATGTTATCTTATTAATTGCATTTATGACAGATTATTTCTTAATGTTTTCTTATTGTTACATTGCCTCCAGCAGCTTTTCACACACAAAATTCTTAGTTGTTTTTTTTAAAGCAATCAGTAATAGATATTATTGCTGATATCATCAATGTATAAACATAAACAGCCAAATGACAGAACATTTCCCTTTCTCTTTTTCCTGTTTAATTTATCCTTCTAGATGTGATCTGGTCTAAACAATAGCTTCATCATCTCTGTAGTAGATTGTTCCTGTCAGACAGAGCTAAGGACTAGTTCTGATTTATTGCCCCTAAGTCAGAGACAGCTATCACCATGGAATCTCCATAGCTCTTTTAAGATTCAGGAATGCAAACAAAGATCCAGTTAGCTGTTGTGTAAGATCTCTGTTTGCTTTTTAAGGAAGACAGGCTGGGTAAGGAAGGCAAACTGACTTCTGTTTAGAACTCAGGTATAAACTGATGAGGAAAGGAATGAAAGATAGTTTGTGCCTTTTGTTTTTAGTTTTTATTACACAAAGACCATCATATGACATGGCAGATTTATTAGCTGTAATACAGCATAAAAATAAACATTTTGGAATCTGATGCTTTAATACATATTTTTACAAGTTTACAAATTTTTAGAAATAGCCTGAAAATGATTTAGCTAATTGTGACTACAAGAAATTTTATTTTTTACAGGACAAATATGATTTTTTTTCTGTGTCACAAATAGGGAAAGTGATGTCCCATTGTTGCTGTTGCTTTAATATGCATTAATAATGATGATGATGATGATGGTGATGATCCATAGAGGAAATTGTGATTCTCTTTATAAATAAGGGATGCAAATCCGACTGCAGAAACTACAGATGTATTTCATTGCTGTCCACTGCATGCAAGATCTTTGCCCACGCTCTCCTGAATAAACTTGTCACTGTCTCAAAAAGGAACTTCGCAAAGAGGCACTGTGGCTTTCAGTCAGAATGGAATATAGCAGACATCATATTTGCCATAAGGCAAGTCCAGGAGAAGTGCATTGAACAGAGCAAGACTCTACTTTGCCTTCATTGACCTGACAAAGGCATTTGACACTGTAAACAGGGAGGGTCTCTTGATCATCCTGAGACGTTATAGATATTCGAGGAAATTCATGAAGTTGATTTAGCTACTCCACAATGGAATGACAGGACAGGT